AGGCAGGAGGGCTGCTTGGGCCCAGGAATTTGAGATCTGCCAAGACAACAAAGTAAGACCTTATTTCTACAGAAAATGAAAAAAATTAGCCAGGTATAGTGATGCATGCTTGTAGTCCCAGTTACTTGGGAGGCTGAGGCAGGAGGATTGCCTGAGTCCAGGAGGAGGAGGAGGCTGCAGTGAGCCATGATCACGCCACAGCACTGTAGGTTCAGCAACAGAGACACTGACTCAAAAAAAAAAAAAATAATAAAATAAAAGGAAAAGAATGCAATCTAGAATCATTACCATCAGATAAAGGATTCAGAAACTGGTAGTCTCAAACTGGGACATATACTTTTTCGTACTCAAGCATTTCAGATAATGGATACTCAAATCTGTATTCCTTTTTTGCTTATTTATAACACAAAGTAAAAGCTTTGGATTCAACTCAGTGATAAAATACATAATATATTATGCAATTATTTTTAAGGAATGCCAGATAACCTTATAAGCTACATCCTCCAACTGTCTGATTAAAAGTTATAAGTCTTTGCTTTTGGCAAGATTCATTTTCATTACCATAAATACATCAGGAAAAGACTGACCCCCCAACCTGAAGCCAGGTGACAGCTGCTCCAAAAAGTCTAATCTGCTTATTGATGAAAAACCAGAAAGGGAATAAATGAATGATTGCTACTGATTCCCATGACAGCTCTACACAGAACCAGTAACTTCACTGGATTAGTATAGAGGCCAATTAGTTTTATTTCATATGTAAATAGCAGCATAAAGAGGTACAAAAAATAATTCATTGGATTGCTTTATCCTAAAGTACAAGGCACACATTTTGAAAGTCACTTCAAACACAGTTCTTACTATGGAGCTCTCTCTTTCTCTTAGGCAGGAATTTTTAAAATAAATTCAAACTCATCCAGCTGTGTATATTCAAGAAATACCAAAAAGTCACAAGGCATAGTAAGTTTCAGCTGTTCTCCTCTCTCCAGTGTTATCAATAACACATAATGAGTTCATACATCATCACAGCTGTGCAGGCCAGAGCTAACTTGGCTAATTTAACTATTCCAGTAGAGTTCAGTAAGGAGCATGCTCTAGTTTAGATAATTCACTAGACAAGTCATATAAAGACTATAACCGGATATGCTTTTATTATCATTAATATGCATTTCTCCTTGTCTTCTTACAGAGTTTCTGTGAAGTTCTCTAATGTTATTGTCCCCGGACAGATTTTTTTAAAAAAGACTTCTTAGAGCAGTGAGCAGTCAGAATCACTCGCAACCAAGGCTACGATAACACGCCAGGCTTAAGCCTCAAGCAAGTAAAACTCCCCCTTTTATCAATAAACATTAATTCCAAAGAGAAAAAATATTATCTTCTGAAAAAGATTAATCAGGGATTCAGGATTTGCAACTTTTTTCTTTACTCCCACCCTCTTTTGATAAATTCAGAATTAGAAATAATCACTGGTCATACTTGCACCTGCAGGTAACTTCCAAAATAAAGTTTGCAGGGTGTCCCTTCTTGATGGGTGGAAATAGCTAGAAGATTATTCTGTTACACTTTAAAATGAATGTAATATGAAACCAATGGTGATCTTGGTTGCTATAGAAAGAATTGCACAGCCTCCATAATTTCAATTATCCACAACAGTATTCGCGACACAGTGAGCATGGCTCTTTTAAAACTGCTTACTTCTGCCATCCAGTATCATTTTCTACTAAGGATGAGTGCCTAAACTGTTAGAGAATGTGTTTTCTTAATCGAAAACACAACATTCAATGTTGTTTTCTCAACTGCATATTTGGAATCTGGAAATTCTCCAAGCCCCATCCCGTGTGCAAAAAAGAAGCATCAGCATCTCTATCTGGGGAGTTCATACATATAACTAGCATCCAGTTGATGCTGGCAATAAACATTTGTCGATGTACAAAAGCATAATGAGAAAGTAAAGCGAGATTATATCATAATCTCATTACAATGAATGAAATAAGCATACATTATTATTGAAATCACTTTTAAATGTATTTTTAGTATCTAAGCTTCTTGACCAGAGTTGGAAAGGACCTGTGAACCTATCTAGCTCAGCTTCCTTTCCAATTTTATTCGACAACAAAATGAACACTACACAAATCCAATACATTTCCAAAGCAAAATAAAGAATTTTATTTGCACAGTCTGAAACTGAACTTTTGCTGTTGCTAGAGATAAAAAACTATGAACTTTCCAAGTTCTACATAATGTAGGTGTTATGGATATAGAATATAATGATTTACCAGGTCATATAAACTACTGAAAACATTGGGATAAACAACTGTCATTCATTATTCAATATTTCTGAATCCAAACACTGCTGGGTTCAACTTGAACATATACACAGCTGAATACACACTTCCTGGTTATGTGCAATCTGCACAGATAGACCAGCTTTACAGGCCTGACCACAGAGATTAATAGCTTTAGCCAAATAATGTGGTAACCATGTGAACCTGGGCTGCTCCAGCTTGTTTGTGAATCTCTCAGCAAGGCTCAACATGCCGTTATCTGCATCTTGTTGCTAGGAAACACAACATCGCTTGGAATACAAGGAAAATCAGGTTGCAATGACCATAGGCCAACAACCCAAAAGCTTAATTTTTGACACTTAGCTACCTGCAATGTTACAACACACCTTCCTGTAATACTTGAAGAACTTCACTTTATTAGTAATTTAACAGTTAATATTTTTTGCTATTTTATCAGGACAGGACCACTTATTACCACTAACAACGTAGTAGCAGCAATAGTAATTATAATTCACTTGTACTTTTCCTCTCCCAAGTATCAGATAAACATTAGTGTATCGCATTAAAACTAATTTGGAAATCAAGCATCCACCGCAACTTAACTGATCCAACAATCCATGCTTAGGGGCCTATATCTGTGTCTATTCAGCACTAATCTTACCAAAGAATAAAACACCCACATGCTCCTGACCTAAAAGTTCCTGGATTTTCTGGGATCAAAATGACTGTGCTGCCTTGCTTATGATAACAGAACATAATGTATTGGCCAATAATCCTGCTAGTTTCTTTCTGACCAATTCAAACAGATACAAACTTAATGTACCAAGATGCTGAAGTACTCAGCAGACTGGAAATTTGCTTCATAAGAGTGAAGTGGGAGGCCACTGTTCTGCAGAGTTTTGCAATCTGGAGATAGAAGGATTATAGTGGCTTTGAGAGTATATAAAATTAATTACCCTTGACATAGCAATTAGAATTGCTAGCTCATGGGCAACAGAGATTTTAACAATACCTTATTAAAAAGATTTTTAAGATAAAAAGGAAAACATTTTTCTCTCTTCTAATGCTGGCTTAAAAAAATAAGCTAAAAGTACTTAGCTTTATTATAAGATTTTTGCTACGAATATTGAATGTATTACATTTTTAAGATAATACACTTATAGTTAGGAAGACTACAATCTTGATATGATCTTACTTTTATCCCACAGGATCTTCTATGCAATTATGCTCAACTTGGGCTTTATTTGTTTCTTGTTCCATACTTCTCTTTTGAAACACAAGATATAAAGTTCTAGTCTCACATAATTAAGTTGCTAAAGAGACATAAATCTCCGTACTATATAACTAAAATACTTAAATATTAAAATCACTTACCCAATACTAAGTGGTTGGAAGAAGAGTTTAAAAAAAAAAAAAAGACCAGGTTTCTGTAATGCTAACAATGCTCTGGCACCAGTCAGCATACAGAAGGTTGACATGAAGACTAACAGAATTAGACAACTTGGAAATGGTTTACTGCTACCATTTGCTGACTCTCCAGATATCTGGGTAGTATAAACCAACTTATCTGTGAACAAAGATGACTCAAAGTTTTTCTCCTGGACTTCTAGGTTGGTAAACTCAGTGAATTTTCCCCCATCTGGGTACTCTAGTACTATACCAAACCATTCAATATCTGTGCAGCTGTCAGGTTGCCCTCACGGTCTCCCAAATCAGGTAGCATGGATAGAAGTACTCTTCTCCCTCATGTAATTTCAATCCTGACTCTTGGTCGTACACAAATAGCTATTAACACCACACGTTTTAACTCCTTCTATATCATAGGAGAAACAACTTAGAAATATAAAGATTAATGCCCATTATACAGCCATTTTTGCATTAGCAATTTTATACATGGCAAGTATCATTTTCTTCATTTTAAAGTTAAATCAAATAATTCAGATACGGAAATGTCAATTTCCTATCAGTGACTATTGCTTAGATATCCGGACTAAGAAAATCAAGTTATGTATATACATATCTTGCATAGCAAAACTGAAGGATAATTGTTTTTTATGAGTAATAAATAGACCTATTAACAAATCTTCACTTACTGTTAAAAGACACTTCCAGGTTTAAAAAAACACCCTGAACTGTGGAAAAATTTATGTTATCTATAAGATAAACTTAATGGTAAAAACTTCAGGGAAACTAAGAAAAGATTCAAAAGTATGGAAGTTTGGAATTATTCACAGAAAAAGTGTTTCTATATTTGAAATGAAGAGGGCCACAAAAATCTCCAAACAATACTATTTTTCTTAAAAAAAAAAAAAAAAAAAAAAGCAGCTACTCAATATGCAGGATTTTAAAATTAGGTAAGTTAGATGTTCATTGTTACAATAAGATTCACGACAGACTTACTTTCAAAAGCAAGCTTTCCTGTGTGATTAAAATAGTATTTAATGCATAATATTCAATGTATGTGCAACTTCTCAGTCACACGCATATTGAACTGAGTGACATCTGAATTGTTCAAATCATAAAACCTTCATTGTCTGGTTGAGTAAATAGCCTGCATTCAACCACCATGAAAAATCAGGATAGCATACAGCCTAATGAATAACAGTGGAAAAAATAAAACCTGTAACTACTAAAAGAAACCACCCTACTAAGCTTTTAGCTTCTTTACCTTCCCTGTAGCATTTTGCAACAGTTCTACAAGTTGTTATAAATACATACCCATACTTCATTCTCATTCTATCATTTTCTGGGTTACAGTAAAATCTTTCCAAGTGCTCCTGAGAATCATTGGATACACTCTGCCACTTCTGAATAGTTGTCCTTTTGATCTGCCAATGATATGGCAAGACCGTGTGGTGCTTCAAACAATCCCTGCCATAAATACAAGTGCCTTGCAGAAAGTCCATGCAAATTTCAATTCCGTTCTCTTGGTGAGTGTGGTACTGTAGCTGGTTCACCAGCTCAAACACGAGGTCAAGGGAAGCCTCCTCACTTTTGTCCTGGAAGAGCTCAGTACTCAACTTATCGCTGGTATCTAAAATGTACTGGATTGTAAAATTGTTATCTTGGAAGACCCCTGGAACGTAATCCATTACTTTGTCTATGCAGTCAGGACTAGTAGGAACATCACTTGAAACTGGGTGTAAAAGGTCAGTCTGGAAGTGCCCTGGGGTAGAATCTGCCACTGTCCTACTGAGAGTTTCCGATGGAAAGCTGTGATCTTGGATTGGAACCACCTGTTCTGGAGCATCAGCGGAAGGATGGGCTTCTGGTATCTGGCTCCTGACATCTGTTCCATCAGGTATCAGGACAGACATACTGTTTTCTGCTGATGGGCACGATGAATTGATTTCCAGGGGTTTTTTCACCATAGGTTCGTGTAAGCTGTTCTCATTTGCACTCTGGTTCCTAGATCTAAAAACCCCATCAAGTGAGCCAGATTCTAGCAAAGTGTTTAATATTGGCCTCAAAGACCTCAGGGTTCCAGTCTCCAGTCTTTTCTGATCCTTTTTCTTAAAACAAGTCTTCAATGGAGTGATCTTCTCAGAGAGTCTCATTTGGCATGAAAAGTCATCAGGAGGAGAGGGAGGCTGCACTACACAGTCTGGCTCAGGCTCGGTAGTTTCCATTTCCATGATGTGGATTAGCTCCAATTGCTCCTCAGAGTCTAAAAATCCTACCAGGAAGGGAAGAAAAATGATCATTTACAAACTAACAACAACTAGATCCTATTCATTAATTAAAATGTTTTGGTTTTGTCTGTAACTGAATCCCTGAAATCATTCCTCTTCCACTATATTTAGTTTTTACAGGTCAATTTTAAATTTTATTGAAACTATGGCTCCAAAATAGTCAAGGTTAGTCAAAAGTCTTCAGTAGGTAAAGGTAGAAGACAGTGTCTTTCAATAGGCCACTGGCATTTATTTGTAGTCTTGATTTACAGTTTGCAATTCTGTGGGGCATACATTTTTACTGTAAGGCTAGAGTGGGGTAGGAGATAGGAAGCAGAAGTAACTGTGTCTAGATGAAGACCGCAGCTCTACTCAGCTTTGTGGTTATCATCACAGTTGCTTATGTGTCACCTGTCTCATGAGTCGACAAAAACTTGTTTCTTTGATGATGGAGGAAAACATGCTCATCAAATGAAAGATAAACTTCAAAGTAAAATAGTGAGTGAATTTGGAGTATAAGGATACATACAAGAAACAGAGGCTCTCAATTACAGAGAAAACCAGAAGTCTGTTAAAAGTTTCTATATTCAGAAAGTCCTAATACATTTCCTAAGAATGTTAAGGATCTACTTTTGCAATCCTCAAAAACATTATCACTGCTGAAGGAAAAGCAGGGTGTGTTTAGCAACAGAAGCCACATCAGCAACAACCACTGCACGCTGTGTTAGAAACCAAACACAACTTCCTAACACAGAAAGGGACTCCTAGTCTTCGTCTTCAGAAAAGTTAGACATGCATCTTTTAAGAGGGAGAATGAAGGCATATTACAGACAAATAATAAGAACATAAAACATAGACCAAATTTCAGATTCCTAATGAACTACCGAAAGACTAAAGAGTGCTTCTTTCCAAGAATCAGACCCCCCTGAAAAAAATTGAAACTTAAAAATATTTACTGAGATTGTGCCAGGTGACAAAGGGATGGTGATGAGCAATTTTACAGCTTTTCTCTGATGGAGATTTTTGACGCCAAGGGTCCATGACTTAATCAAGTATGCATCCTGGGAGCTCAGCACAGTTTCTAGCACAATGCATACAGTGAGTGTTCCATAAACATTTTGTTGGTTGAATTATTAAAGAAAAGGCACACGTTAAATGCTTAGTTCTTTGTTGCTGACTCATAAACAACAAAAGAAAAAATTGAGTTCCCCCCAAATGAATACTGAAGTTTTAATTACAGAGTCATACATCTATGTGTAAAAAGAGCATAATAATCAAATTCAGAAAAATGAAAAACAAAGCACAGTACGTAACAAAGCGTTAGTATACACGGTAAGTACAAAAGAAAAAGGTAGAAAAAGGAGAGAGTTCAGTGTGAGCTCGCATTGTTAGGGAAGGCTTCACGAAGGAGGGATCTGACATGAGACATAAATCAACTGGAAAGCAGCCAAGCCAGGCGTTATTATTCATCATTCGGTGCTCTTGCCTCAAGGCACAATTGGCACAGATTGTGGTATTCCCTCCCCGCCACCCCAACCCGGCCTTGCCTTCCCCACGCACACACTCGCCCCTCCCAGCAAACCCCATCAAGGCGAAACGGACGCGTAGCCAATTTCATTGATACGTGTGTGTACACACGCGCGCGCGCGCGCGCAACTTTTCCTCCGACTGCCCTTCACCAAACTCGGACACAAAACCGGGAGGAGGCAGAGGAGAACGGCAGGGGCGGCCCCCGGAACCCGGCTCCTCAATTAGTTTTCGCGACAGCAAAACAAAGCTCGGAAAGACGCCTCCTCCGGGCCCCGCTGCAGGCGACCCGCGGCGACACCCCGCGCCTCGTGACGCCCGGGTTCTGCAGCCGAGCGCACCTCCCAAGAAAGCCGCCCGCTCCCAGCCCGGCCCGCCCGCAGCCGCGCGACAGCCGGGCGCCGAGCCGGGTCCGAGCGACGCCTCCTGCCGGCCGCGGCGGCTCCAGCAGCTCCGGGCCCCGCGCCTCGCCGACCCGCTTCTGCACGGCGGGGGCGCGCCCGGCCCGGCCGCTCGGGGTGCTCCGGGCCCCCCGCCCGCCCCTCCGCCGCGCCCCCGAACCCGCTGCCCCGCCTCCCCGCGATCCGCCCGGCCTCCCCGCATCCCAGGGCCGCCCGCGGCGCCTTCATTTCATTTCTTCACCTCGCCGACCCGCCCCCGAGGGGGCCCGGCGGGTCCCGGCTCACCGGGCTGAGTCGCGCGGCCGGGGAGGGAGGCGAGGACGCGGGCGCCCTCAAAGTTGACGCGAAAACGGTCCGGCAAACTTCTGAGCTGCAGCCGGGAACGCAGGGTCCGCGGCGGCGCTGCGCTCCCCTGGGGATCCGCGCCTCGGGGCGGCAGGGGTTTGCCCGGGGGGGGTCCGCGTAGACGCGCCCCCAGCCTGCAGGAGAGGAAAGGGCGGACGCCGGCGACCCCCACTCAGCCGCGAGCGCCCGGGTCCGATTCCGACACCTGCCAGGGGCTCCGAGTGACTCAAGGGCAAGCCAGCTCCACCCGACCCTGACGGGATCCAAGGGAATTCGGCACGGAGAGGCAGTCCAGACGCCCGCCGCCCGGTCCGCGGGAGCCCCGCACGCCCCGGCGCGCGGCCGGGGTCCGCCCGCCCGCGCGGTCCCGCAGCCCCCCAGCCCCCGCCTGGAGCCTTCACCTGAGCGAGCGCCACAGAGAACGGACGTCAGGAGCCGGATCGCGGGCGGTGTCCGCGCGGGGGCCGGCGCCGGCGTCTAGGGGTCGCAGAGCGGCGCCGCGGCCAGCCGCGCACGGGCCATTCCGCCGCCGCGAGCACAGACCACCTCCGCCGCGCTCCGGGGCCAGCTAGCTCGCCTGTCACCTCGAGCTCGGCTTTAAGTGGCTTCCGGTCGCCGCCTCCCGACGGCCCCGTCGCGGAGGCGGAGCCCGGGCGGCGGGGGGTG